TTTCAAACTATCTAAATTTATTTTTTATTTTTCTGAGCGTATCTTCTATATTTCCGACGATGATTTAATTTTAACGATGATTTTTATAGATTTACATGTATGTATATAATAGAACTATTTTCACATGCCATATAACAATACAAATACAGTCAAATATATATGAAGGAATATATGCACACACATAATGCTTGATAATCTTTTTTAAGGACTAATTGTAAGAGCATGTAAGGTAAAGATTACCTTCTGTGTATGTGTGTATGTATGTGTGTGTAATAAATGAAAATGTTGAATTTATACACACGATACTACTAATTATTATCAGTCGATAGGGGACAACAATGGCGCAAACCTATTCATAATTTTTGTTCTATATTTTATATATATATATATATATATATATATAGAAGATTTGTCTTACAATTTTATCTTGGAACGAATTACCATGCCAGGAATATTTGTCGTATTTTTTTATTTTAATTTTCCTTTTTTTTTTTTTTTTAAGCAAATTCGACAACCAAATATTATTTATGTATGTATATGTATATATATATATTTGTTTTGTTTAAATAATCGACACACGGATTTCTTTGTTTTATAAGTTTTACATTCCTTTTTCTATTACAGTCTTCTTTGTGTATGAGAAATGTAGTAAATTTACGATACAGACTTTCGTAACACACTTTCCTTCGATAAAATATATGTATATATATATATATATATATATATACATACATATATGTTTATGCGTTATGTATGTATAGTTTACATATATATATATATATACATAATATTATTTATTTCGTTAATTTTTACACCGACCATGTAAAAAGAGAGTCGCGTGTGTGCAAAGTTTCACTGTCGTGAGTAAAAAGAAAAAATGAAAAAGAAATAAGAATGATAAATAAAATTGAATTAAATAAAAAAAAGATATAAAAAGAAATTGTTAGAATTATTTATCTAAAATCTATCTCATAGACAACATTTGTGTAATAACTAATAAATATAATAATATATTTTTGCGCAATAATTTCTAATATTTTCAATCTATATTTCATTTGTTTAGTAACAATTTTAATTTAGTTTATATTTTTTTTCTCTCCACATGTTCACGTATGATTAATTCATTCTAATTAATTAAAAAAAATGCAGATTAATTGTAATAATAATAATAATAATAATAAGAATAAACGATAATTATACAATACAAAAATATTGATAACTATATGTAATAATGATGTATATATAAATTTTATATACAGGGTGATAAAAAAAAAGGGTTCGATATTTGAAGGACTTATAGTACTCACCGGATGAGAAAAAAATTTTTAATTAATATGAGTCTTAAAATCAATCCTTTCGTTGTAAATAAACTGTTATTATTTATAAGAGTTTAATATCTTTTGGCAACATATTATTAACAAGTATTATAAACCTTTCTAATATCGAACCCTTTATTTTTACCTCTCCCCCTATATATTACATATATACGAGAAATATATGAACACTAATTTACGTTCAACGTTAGAATAATTTATCTTTCAAAATATTAACAACAATTAGTTGAGATCATATATAATAGTTCGAACGAATATATTTTTTCATTCCTTTCGTATCATAGTACGCAAAGTATTAATCAAGTCACGTAATCTATTTGCAAGTCACTATCTCGCAATAATCAGTCAAGAAATAAAACAAAAAAGAAAATGTTAAACTTTAAAAACGCTAGTGCCGTGTTTTATACATCATGCACATTATCGAATCGATAATAAACGAATACTCTTTTTTCCCTTTTTCTTTTTTCTCTCTTCATACTTTACGTAATGCATTATTACGATTATGCGATTCGGAGAAATAGACTTGTAACGAATGTAATCGCATTGAATAAGTCAGCATTAAGTTATTACAAATTTTCGAATTATTTTTCGATCCGCGAAACGATATATATATATCATAATAAAAATAAATTTTCTAATTAATAAAAACGATAAAAAAAAACTCTGATATTATTATCATTATTATTAACGTAGTATTATATACTCATAAACGACGTAATACGATTAAAGTAGTTGTTCACAACGATGACGTACGATTCGATGTAAAAATGATACAAATGTTTACTTTTTACAGTTAAATTAGTGTAAAATAAATTAAAATTCGAATCAATAAGAAGAGGAGATACTTAATTTGAACGAATACAATTAAAAATAAGTAAATGAAATATTATTATTCATTGAAATTAATGCAAGGATTCGAAGAAAGAGCGGCAGCGTGTAAGTCGTCAGAGCTTCTTATCCGTGGCGGTATTTTTGATTGGTGGCGCCGAATGAGGTACCATATTTTCAACCGAACTTGATGGTGGTGGTGGTCCTAAGCTCGTACTTCGTTCCAATGGGAATATTTTTCCCACACCTGAATGGGAAATAGCTCGTTTCGCCGTTCTAAAAGAGCTGTTAATTTTGATTACAATTAACGTTTATATCTTTTCGTTTCTATAATAAGAAATCGATACATATTTTATACATATTTAAAAAAAAAACAAAACAAAAGATAATACATACTTTTTGCATACACATATAATAATATATATATGTTAATAAACAAAAATACAATATATATATGTATATTTTATGTATTATTCGCGAATGATATATGATTTTATAAAAAAAATTATAAATAATTGTTTTTGCGTAAAATCCTTGCGTAAAATCGCATCGAACAAAATTTCATTATTAAGACTAGAACCTTCTTACAACGTATTTCATAAAACGTTCAATCGATATTACGCAAAGTTTCATTGTTGTAAGAGTAAACAGAGTCACATGTGCATCCGCCATGTTTGACATTCATCTAATTGGGTACATCCGGGATTTGATAAAAGAAGCAGCTTGATGATCCTATCGTTTATTTTTCTTTTTTTTTATTATTATTATTGGCGTATCTCGTGTGCGTCAGGATAAAAAATAGATTTTTCGGTAATTTTCAACTTCAAAGAATTATCATAGATAATAAGCTCGTAGCAAGTAAGGTAATTGTAAGATAAGTTTTTGTTATATTTATTATTCAAAATTGTTTAGATTGTCGTTAGAAAAATAGAAAAATAGAGAGAGAGAGAGAGAGAGAGAGAGAGAAAGAAATAGAGAAAGATGCGATGTAAGTGACAGGAAATACAGAATGTGAATGTAGAATGTGTTTCGTATCGTGAAAATGAATGGGACGTACACATTTAAAAGATTATACCAATGCGTTTAACAGTACGTGTTTTTAAATGTTTTTCTATTTTTTTGTTCTACGCTGAAAGCATGAGGTTGATGACGTAACATAGGTCGTTCGTGAATAAAAAGCAGAATATGATGGTTGCTTGCTTGATGGATTGTGCTCATCGTTCAAAGCATTTTTCGTTTTAATTATGTTCGGTCTAAAAGCTACGAATAATAATCATCGTCCTTTTATTTCTATTGATCAAATATTTCTAAAATTTTATTTCTAAAAAAGAAAAATAAAGAAAGAAGAAACGGAGAAAAAATTAATACGTAAATTAGATTTTTTCGTTCCTTTTTTTTTTACTGATATTTTTTGCATTTCTATAAACAAATTTTTAGAGAAATATTATATCGAGATAAATTTATAAAGATAAACTAATATATTATATAATAAAAAAAGATAAATTTGATTGATTTCATTTCTTAATTAAGAAAATTATTAATATTATGTAGATTGAATGAAAAGATATCAGTTTATCTGCAGATCAATTGAAAAATTAATTGATTAATTAGTAGATCGATTAAAATAAAAATGACTTGTTGATCTTCATTGTTGTTTAGAAGTGAAGATGTGTTCTAATAACAAGCGTGATGAATGAAGCCTAATGTATAATTGTGGGAATTAAAAAGATAGAAGAATTGAATTCTTCTTTCTTCTTTAAAAATGCTGACAAACATAGATTGTTCGTCGTTTTGTTTTAATTGCGATGTTTTTTCAACGATTAATTCATTCGAAACTATGAAATCGTGCAATTGACGTTGCAATTTTTCTAATCTATAATTAAATCTTGATTCGCAAATAAATTCGACGATTAGAGTCTATCGAATCACCGAATTCGAATATTTCTTTCGTAATATGTAAGAAAATTTAATTAATTGAATTATTATATATTATATGTGTATATATGTTGTTCAATAATCGTATATAGAAATAAAAAAAAAATAATTACAATCATATCACAAATATTTATATGAACGTATATCTGTTCGTATAATATTTTACATAAATATTTAAATGAAATTCACATTAGTCAAATTTAACAATAATTATATTAATATTAATATTTTGTTCGTAAGGTGATTCGTCAAACTCTTTTCGAGACAAATTGAAAATGAAGAAAAAATAAATTGAAAAATAAAAAATAATAATAATAATAATAATAAAACCCACAGAGCATTCAGTCTCAAAGAAACATTTTGTTACAAACATAACATTATAATACACCTGTTTACCTTGATTACTAAAAACAGGATCAGATAATCTCGATAGATTAGACGAGAGAACTCTAATCACTGAGAGCATCTAAACAGTCAAAGCGGATTTAACCACACACGTCCTGGATATATTATTATTATTTTTTACTTTTACTTTTTTTCTTTTCTCGTCGCTTTTTTTCTTTTTTTAGTTTTTTTTTTTTTAAATGTTTCATAGAGAAAGTAATATAAGATATAATTTATTTTGTGTTGTGTTACTTATTTTTTCTCTTTTCTTTTTTTTAAATATATATTTTTTTCGTTAGTTCGTCTCAATTTTTTTTCGTTCATTTATCATTTTTTTTTTTTATCCTCAGTTTTGTGCGGGCGCTCAAATAATCGTCGTTCGTTTTCGAGAACACAACGACGGTAATATTTCTTTTTATATTTTATTTCATATTTTTTTCGTTTTTTTAAACTACGACGCGTTTTCATTCTTTTTCTTTTTGTTTTTTTGTTTTTTTTTTTTTTGTTTCTTATATCCTCATAGCATGTACCTGTAACGAAGAAATTCTTGAATTTTAGACATCTCCCGAGTGTCCATTGAACATCAGCCAGTATCACAGCACGGCACACTTGCAGCATGTTAGAGATAGAAAGATTTTTTTTTTTTTATCAAGAACACCTTTTAATTCTTTTTTAATTTTTTCAATTAATCAATTTATTCGCTTCCTATTTTTTTTTCTTTTTTTTTTTTTCGGCATGTTCTCCTCTCGCGTTAATCAACAACACACAGCTGTGCAACGTTAATAATAATAATAATAATAATAATCGAATTAAAATTCAAGCCTAATATAATATTTATCTTACTTTTTTTTTATATTTTTTCTTTTTCTTTTAATTTAAAATATGTATCTTTCTATCCATAAATCCAGTGTGGTGTTTGTTAGAGAGTAAGATAGATAGATAAAGATAGCATAAAAGATAGAAAATAGATTAAATAAGGAAGAGTATAGGAGAGTAAAAGAAAGAAAGAAAGAAAGAAATAGAGAAAGGTAGGAAAGATAATTACCAATGCGATTAAGTTAATTTTTACGCAGATTATAGTCGTGTGTTAGATGTCACTAATGTGACTTTCCATTTTGAGTATACACTGTTGCACGCTGAGGAGTTGATGCTTGTGTCATTACTGGAACAAAGCCAGTATTTTCGTATTCGTACATACACATACTGCAAATATCACACCTTGACAAGTTCCAATGTCCAAACGATATGGACTGGCAAATAATACCACATTTACATATCTTATTTATCGACGATGGATGATTCTTTAATTTGTTTTTTCTTTCTTTTATTGTTTTACCTTGAACAAATTATACCTCATTTGCAAACCCATATCGTTGTTTTTATAAAAAAAACAAAAGAAAAAATAATCCTAAGAACAACACGTTATTTCATTCGATCGGGCTCGTAGCTTTCAGCGTATTAATTATCATAATTATTAATTCACATTTACGAATACATATAAGAATATTATTGATAGATTGTGAGGGAAAGAGATAGATTTATGGAAACGCAATAATATATATATATATTATACATCCACATTTACTGCATTTTCTGTTAATTTTTTAATACGAATTTCCCTCGGATTAATGTGAAGATCATCAGAGAAATTATCATCGAATATATTTCATTTGTTTTACACACAAATGTGAGTTTAGTTAATAATAGTAATAATAATATTAAAAATGACATACCTTCTGCGCCGCAAAGATGCATTCTGACCAGGTAAACCAAATTGACCACGTGGTATTACCATCCTTGCGTTACCCTTTGCTGGTCTCGAACCACCGTGTACCTGTAGCATGCTCAAGTGTGCTGCATAACCATCGTGAAGTATTGTTGCTAATGCGTGATGTTTTTTCGATGCACTACCGATAACGAATATTTGATTGGGTTTTAGATTTATTGACGTGTAAACACTTATATCTTTGCTACTACCGTACGCTTGATGTATTATCACACCATGTTCCTGTAATCACAAAATATTTTTTATTTCATTAATATCGTATTTCTAATCATTAATTTGATCTCGATTGAATAGAATTTTCAATTCGAAACGAGTACATTGAACAAAATAACAAAAAAACATATTCAATTGGGATAGAAATTGATTGATCGTTCGTTGTTATTTTCTTTACCTGGACTAAATTATTTAAATACGCTGCTTTGTGGCCAAGCGGATCCGTGGAAAGACCATCAGCGAAGGACACCAAACCATGAGGAAAATTATGCTGAGATAACCATGACACAACTTTCTTCTGTTGCATATCAGGTCGTGCAGTAATGTATATAATTAAATAGCCTAATTCCTGCCAATGCCTATAAATAAAACAACAAATTGTTAAAGTATTTGATCGAGGATAAATATTATAAATAGTAGGTATGATTTTATTTTACAAATATTTACCTGACAACATCAACAGCACCAGCTCTAACTTTAGGATCCTTTCCGGTAACTGACATACTCGCTGTGAACGATCCATCGATACTGAAGACCACACATTCTGTTTTCGGAGGTATCACAGTCATAAAGAAGTCGACAGATGTATGATCTCCTCTAAATATATCAATCAATTATGTTATTTTTAATATTAATCAATAATAATGGGAATACGTGTGCCGAGTAATTATGACATTTGATTAACAATAAGTATAAAAAAAAAAATAATCAAAAAATAAATCAATTTATAATTTACAATGATTTCAATCTCTTTTCACACAATGCATTGTCATAATTACTCTGGCACACGCGTATAAATAATTATATAATACAATTATTAAGAACGCGATCAATTATACCTAACAATCATTTTAACAGGATAAAGCCCATAACCGAGAGCTTTGTCGTCAGGTATTCTATATGTTATTCTACCATTTTTATCAGTAATTTCGGTAGATAAAAACGTCCATTCTCCAACAGGTGGATCTTTCATAATATGAATGTCTACTTTTTCACCTGGAATATATAATAGATTAAACAGCGAGCCCAATATTACATTACGCATATAAAAGTTATCGGAAATAAAAATACGATTTAATCTTGAGTGTTAGTTTACCTGTTAAAGCTATTACATCTATTGGACTGTACATAAATCTGGCAACTAATACTTGAGCAGCACCTTCTTTAACGATTACGTCATTGGCTCTATGATTAGCAGCAACGTTCTAAAAATGTTTAATGCGTGATGTTAATTTCATTAATAACTAGGATACTTAGTACATTCGATAATAATGACAAATATTTCAAGAAAAAAAATATGAACCTTTAGCTTGACCGAAGTGCGTTTTTTGTTCCATTTTTCCCTAGGTTGACCTGGACGGAAACAGGAGAGTTCTTTTTCTTCGTTACCGAGCATAGGTAAATCAAATCGACCCAGCTGTCTTAATATAAATGCTATTACGTCTGATGATTCCCAATAACTAGCATGGAAAAGATGAGGTAACGCGTTTGTAGGAAAATTTGCCAGACCCTCTGGACAATATAGAGCGTAATCTATTCGTTTGTTGCCCCACCATTTTTGTGTAACTAAAAATTTAATTTTATTTAATTCTTTATTCTTTTTCTATTTGGTATATATTTGTATAATATTATTATACAAAATGATTATCTATATCTTTGATATTATATTATATATATATATTATAAAATAGATTTGTTTTGTATTTGGATAAATACTTACGAGCAGAAACAACTTGTAAAGGAATATTATCGATGATACCAGACATAGTACTGTGAATCGAAATATCCGACAATCTTCTCAAATGAGAATGTTGAACCGGTGTAGTCATATGTATGTTAGGAACGTTTAATCCATCCGTAAATAATTGTGGATTGCTTTGAATCGTTTCCACTGAAAAAAGAAATAAAAAAGAGAAAAGAAAAATAATTGGAATGTTAATTACTTTCTTTTCTATCAATGACTCATTTACAAAGTAAAGAAGACTTACGTAAATGATAAGGTTGTCCATTTCCAAGAGGATACTTTTGATATCGAGCAACATTAACAGGTGGTAATAATGAAAATCTTGCTGATATCAATGGCTCGATTCTCGCTGCCACTGGATCACTTGGATGAAAAAGATTGTAAACCTGATTCACCATTGGCCTTGGAATATTACTATTCTTATCTTCGTGTGATGAAATTTTTCTATATGCCATTACGAGTGCCAATGGACTGCCAAACATAAAGAATTCTCCTACCTCGAATTCTAATTTACATTGTTGTGACCTGTCGCTGGTAAGACAAATTTATTTTTTTATCTTTATAATAATTTTCATTTAAAAATGGTGTATATATATATATATATATATATATATATATATATATAACAATGATTGATAATAATATTTATTTTAATTTTAAATGAATATTAAAAAATAATAACATTAATTGGTGTTCGATTTGAAAATTTATTATAAAAATATAATTAAAAATATGATTTCTTACTTTGTACCCGAAGATCTTCTTCGGGGTGAAGGTGCACTCAAATGTTTTCCATCCTCGAATATTCCATTATTTTCGGTTCCTTGATTATTCGGTTCCAATATATTATTTTCACTGTTATGCCTCGAATGATAATGCGTAGATCTACACAATGCATCGTAGGCCAATATCGAACCTACGGAATCACCGATGAAACTAATTTGTCCACTAAAACCTCTACCCTCTTCGCTTTTTATAAATTCTTGATAAATTTGATTTGCATTTGTCACCACTCGTGTTACTGCTTCTTCATAATCCGAGCTTGCACTCGCTAATAATGGTATTGCACCGATTGGTATGGTATCGTTCGTTACTTGAGGTGCATCCATGCATGATGGTGACATGTCAAAACTGTATGGACTTAAACTGAATCATAAAATTTAATTAATATATATGATATATGTATATATATACATATATTTTTCTTTTAATTTTAGAACTATTTGATATTAAAATGCAAGATGTTAAAATTAAAAGATAATAATACAAATGGAATTATGTTGATCGGCTGTTCTAATAAAAAAAAAAAAGAAAAGAAAATTATTCGAATAAACAATTGTGTGTGGAATTTTTGTTTACCTCGAAAGAACACCCAGACCTTCGGTACAAATCGAGGGACAGGAAACAAATTTAATAGAAACATGTCCAACCATACTAGGATAATGTTGTCTCATAACAGATTCAAAGGCACCTCTGAAGGTAGTTACATCCGATTTTTTAGCAGTCAGATCTATGTTGGCATCTATTTTATAATATAATAATATAATTAATTATGTTATATACACATTAGTTAATATATAAAATAAGAATAATTTATTCGAATTGATAATTACCTAAAACACTTCCAGCGTGCATTACGATTAATAATACTGTAGTTTTACAAGATTGATGTGTAGGAGAATGTTGTGGTGATGTCGGACAAGAAACGTCAATGCTAGTCGATGTGATAATTTGTAATCGTTTACTACGTTCGCTTGCAATTGGTTGTAGAAACGACGGTGAGAATATCGTATCTGTTTCTGTAAAAAAGAGTTCAATAAAAACAAATACAATTAATATTATTATTATTATTATTATTTGAATAAAATTTGAAATAAATTTTCATGCAATGACAGTTGTTCCCAAATTTGTTCTATTCTCGATAGCCCTTTTCTGAATTCAGATTTTGTCAAAGCGTTTCCTATTTCAAAATCTAATAAATTTACTTTGTAAAAAAATTAAAGGATTGATTAAAAATATATATATATATATATATACATTTTATTCCTAGATTTATTATCTCTTATCACAAAATAAAATTACGAAAACGTTTGTAATATTTCGCGGCGCACGCAAACTTTGGGAAACTATTGTCTTACGATATAATAATCGTATAATTAAATGATAATAAATAATTAAAGAATATTAATTATTACCTTCCACGTTGTTTGTTATTGACACAGGAGATGCACCATCGTCCTCTTCTGCTAGAAGATCCAAAGAACTCCATTTAGCTAATGAAGAGTTATCTTCAAAGTGCTCTAAAGTATAATTACATATAATTAATATCAATTGTGCACTATTTTCTTCCATTTTATATTTGATTCATATTGTTTTCTTTTTTTTTTAAATATATAATATTATTATTCTTAACCTATTATTAAGTATAAGTATAGAAAGCAACTAAATAGTATAAAAGGTGATCAATTAAATTTGTTAAAATGACTATATTAGTGCATTTTAAATTTCCTAG